AGATTAGAAACTTCCTTCTATGACGACAGACTGATTAAAATGGGTCAATTTACTTCGTCATGTAGACGAAAAGATAAAAAAATTTGATTATATAATGGTATATTCGTATCTAACTCCGCCTGTAGCTCTTATAGGGTTACTGCCGGTCCCAAGCCCGGGTAAAGGAGGAGGGTTGGGCATGGGGTTATCGTCCCCATCCCGTAGAAAACTAACTCGCTAAAAAAACGCTTACCAGAAAAAATAATCCAAACCATTTAAACTCTGCCCTGGGATTTAGAAGGCCTTCATTTAGAAGAATTATGACGCTTCATGGTGAATGCCGAGTTCCTTCGGAAGCCACGAGGCCGATGCCCCTTCTAACAACCAGAGCAAAAATTTTTATAGGTACATGGAACGTTCGAACAATGTGGGAAGCCGGGAAGACCAGTCAAATAGCAACGGAAATGAGGAGATACAACTTAGCAGTACTGGGAATCAGCGAAACCCACTGGACCCAAGCTGGACAACAAAGGCTAAATACGGGAGAGATGCTGCTATACTCCGACCACGAAGAGGAAAATGCTCCACACACTCATGGAGTCGCTCTAATGCTGTTCAAAGTAGCACGAAATGCACTTGTAGGATGGGAATCTCACGGATCCAGAATCATCAAAGCATCATTCAAAACAAGGAAGGAGAGGATCTTAATGAATATTATCCAATGTTATGCACCCACAAATGATAGCAACGATGACATTAAAGATCAGTTCTACGAGCGGCTGCAGTCAGTCATTGAGAAATGCCCAAGGAAAGACCTAAGTATTCTGATGGGAGATCTAAATGCCAAAGCCGGAATAGACAACACTGGATATGAAGAAATTATGGGACGACATGGACTGGGAGAAAGAAACGAAAATGGAGAAATATTTGCAAATCTATGTGCATTCAACAAATTGGTTATAGGAGGCACAATATTTCCACACAAGCGTATACACAAGGCTACATGGATCTCACCGGACCACACTACAGAGAACCAAATAGATCATATTTGCATCAACAAAAAATTCTGAAGGACAATGGAAGATGTGAGAACCAGGAGAAGCGCTGACGTAGCTTCAGATCACCACCTAGTTGTGGCCAATTTAAAACTGAAGCTAAAGAAGAACTTGACAAGTGGACAAACAGCAATACAAAGGTTCAATACAGCCTTCCTTCGAGATACTGACAAACTCAATGAATTCAAGATTGCTCTCAACAACAGGTTCCAAGTCTTACAAGATCTACGGAAGGAAGAAGAAACTAGTATGGAGGACAACTGGAAAGGCATCAAGGAAGCATTAACTTTAACGTGTCAAGATGTTCTGGGTCTAAAGAAATACCATCATAAGGAGTGGATCTGTATAGAAACTCTGGACAAGATCAAAGAAAGCAAGAACAAGAAGACAGCAATTAAGAACAGCCGAACACGAGCAGAGAAAGTCCAAGCACAAGCTGAATACATAGAAGCAAACAAGCAAGTTAAGAGGAGCATTATAGCTGACAAGCAAAAATATGTGGAATAACTAGCAACGACGGCGGAAAAAGCTGCTAGAGAAAGAAATATGAAACAGCTTTACGATACAACGAAGAAACTAGCAGGGAAATACAGTAAACCAGAGAGACCGGTCAAAGACAAAGAAGGCAAGCCAATCACCGAAATTCAACAACAGCGGAACAGATGGGTAGAATACTTCGAGGAACTCCTGAATAGGCCGGCTCCAATGAATCCACCGGACATCGAAGCGGCACACACAGATTTTCCCATAGACGTCAACCCACCAACGAAGGAAGAAATTAGAATGGCCGTCAGACAAATCAAGAACGGGAAAGCAGCGGGACCCGACAACATACCAGCTGAAGCACTGAAGTCAGACATCGAAGCAACTACAAACATGCTTTACCTCATATTCAAAAAGATTTGGGAAGAGGAACAAGTGCCGACGGACTGGAAAGAAGGGCACCTCGTCAAGATTCCAAAGAAAGGAGATCTGAGCAAATGTGAAAACTATAGAGGCATTACACTGTTGTCAATGCCAGGGAAAGTCTTCATCAGAGTGTTGCTGAACCGGATGAAGGATGCAGTAGACGCCCAACTTCGAGATCATCAAGCTGGATTCCGTAAGGATCGGTCGTGCACAGACCAAATTGCAACACTACGGATCATCGTTGAACAATCAGTTGAGTGGAACTCATCACTATACATCAACTTCATTGATTATGAAAAAGCATTCGACAGTGTAGATAGGAGGACGTTATGGAAACTTCTTCGACACTACGGAGTTCCTGAGAAGATTGTCAACATTATCCGGAACTCATACGACGGACTACAGTGCAAAGTCGTGCATGGAGGACAGCTGACAGATGTATTTCAAGTAAGGACAGGAGTCAGACAAGGCTGTCTACTCTCTCCCTTCCTCTTTCTTCTGGTGGTCGACTGGATTATGAAGACCTCGACATCTGAAGGAAAACACGGAATTCAATGGACAGCTCGAAATCAATTAGACAATTTGGACTTCGCAGATGACCTAGCCCTCCTATCACGTACACACGAACAGATGCAGATGAAGAAAACCAGTGTAGCAGCAGTCTCTGCATCAGTAGGCCTCAGCATACACAAAGGGAAAACCAAAGTCCTCAAATTCAAAGCGGAAAACAACAATCCAATCACTCTTGATGGCGAAACTCTGGAAAATGTAGAGTCCTTCACATACCTAGGAAGCATCATCGATGAACAAGGAGGTTCAGATGCAGACGTAAAGGCAAGGATTGGCAAAGCAAGGACAGCATTCCTACAGTTAAAGAACATATGGAACTCAAAACAACTTTCAACCAATATCAAAGTGAGAATCTTCAATACCAACGTCAAGGCAGTTCTACTGTATGGAGCTGAAACTCGGAGAACTACAACAACCACAATCAAGAAGGTACAAGTATTTATAAATAGTTGTCTACGCAAGATAATTAACATCCATTGACCGAATACTTTCAGTAAAAGCCTTCTGTGGGAGAGAACAAATCAGCTTCCAGCTGAAGAAGAAATTAGGAAAAGACGATGGAAGTGGATAGGACATACATTACGCAAATCATCAAACTTCATCTCGAGGCAAGTCCTAACTTGGAATCCTGAAGGGAAGCGAACAAGCGGAAGGCCAAAGAACACATTGCGTCGGATAATAGAAGCAGATTTGAAAACGATGAATTACAACTGGACGGAGCTAGAAAGGATTGCCCAGGAAAGGGTTGGATGGAGAATGCTGGTGAGCGGCCTATGCTCCTTCACGAGGAGTAACAGGCGTAAGTAAAGTAAAAAGTAAAGTAAACATTCGTATCTGTTATGTCCTCATTTTTCTCGTCTTCCAAAACAGACAACTAAGGAGGAAACCAATATGTTCCACAAATTTCTTGTCAGATGATTAGTTCTTATTCCTTGTCAGCTTCTCGTTAAGCCTCAGTTATAGTTAGTCCAGTTCTGTAAGTTAAATCACCTAAACCCGACTGATCTCGCCTTTCCGTTATCTGACTAAATATCTTTCCTGAAAATACTACATGATTTCGATTTTATTTTTATTGTAAGTGAAATGACGCTTCTAAAGTTACTGACTTTTAGTAAGGTAACAGTTTAGTCCTTCAAACAATTTTTTGATCAGTGTGCCTCATAAAATATCAAATTAAATGAGCAACCTACCACAATGTTGACTGTATCTTCCATAACAATTTGATCTTGCCTGTAAATTGGCATTCTTCATGTAATAGACTGTTATTTGAGAATAAATTATTATTATTCTCGTTATTATTAATATACATTGTGACCATCCGAAATACTTGAACACCAGATATATTAACAGATACGCTATTCCAGTGGTTCTTTTCTATTCCAGTGATGGGTTCAGATGTTGCGATAAAGAACCACGAACATTTCGATCCTATGGACAGCGGTGCAAAGTTTAAATGTTCTTCTTGTAGGAACCCGGCCAAATGATAAAACTCTGGAGAATCATGTGAGAATGGTGAACGGTGCAAATCTGCAAAAACTGAGTAATCACATGAGTTGAACTCAGAAGTTGATTTCCATTCTCCATCATGATGACAGTACGCAACGGATGTTAAAACTGAGATTTCTGTAGATTTTTTTATAGAAACGAGGCCTTTAATTTACACATAACCACAGATAAATGACCAACGTCACCTTATACAGTTGGCAGGCAGAGAGTCTTTATGGTCGAAAACTTCTGATACATGTACATGTACATGATACATGTACATGTCCACTTTGTATTATTAAGCCCCTTTCATTGGTAGATTTGGAAACTTTGTTTCTCGGCCTGATTAGGCTTTATTTCACGTCCGTTTAGCTATCTAGCTTGTAAATCCTTGACGGAGAGGCCTTAGAAATATCGTGAGGTGGTAGTCAGTTGCGTAGGTTTAACAAACCTTCTTAAATCTTCTGGCACTGGATTTGCTCAAACTGTTGTCATCCACTGCATTCATCGCACTGCGGGCAACTTTCCACACAGTATCGACAGTCTGGGCATTGTCATCTGCTTTTTTAGCCTTATATAGTAGCAAAAGAAAGCCTCTAGAATAAATAAGATACATTAGTACATGAACGCAGAAGTGATAACAGGAAAAATAGTGGAAAACGGTAAAATGTTAGATATTGAAGTATGACAAATAAAAAAGTCTGAGAGAAAAAGTGAAGATAAATTGATCCTGTAAAGATAACAATCTCCGTGTCACTTCAACTGAAATAAATTTAATTAAAGTGAAAGAAATATTCTTAATGAGTAATAAACAATCAAAATTTATCCGTTTAACTCAGGGAGTAAATATACCATTTTCTTTTTAACACCGCTCATGTGGATTGTGTCCGATATCGAGAGTATTTCCGAATCAATATCGTCTTACTACTCATAGCTGTTCTGTATCATTTAATATTATTGAAATCAAATATTGGAACCTTAGGGTCACCAAATTTGTGCGTTATGTCCGCGCTTTTCAAACGTTGTTGTAGCGTGTTTTCGAGATCAACTGGTAGGCTGGTTTTTCTTAATATATTGAAACTCCACACTATGAAATTTCAGTGTTATGAAATGCGGGATCATTTTTAGTTTGCTATATTATTCCAGAACAGGATTAAATGTATTGCGATCAATAATCATTTTGTCAATATAAAACTACATTTGAATTTATATATTGCATATTGTAGGATGTAAAATGTTCTTAGTGACATTAAGCTAGTGTCGATTTTCAAAGGCAGCTGATATTTTGGGAGTGAGAAAACTGGTTTGAGTGTTGATTTTGGTCAGTAAATAATTCGGAGAGGTATTTGTGGAATAAAAACTTTAAATGAAATCCCGTACTTACTAGTGGTAAATATCTGACGTCTGTAGGTATGTACGTCTATCTAAAAGGAAAAGAATTGTAATTCTGCGGCCACTAACTTTTGAATAGTATTTCTGGAATATTACGTAGCCTGGTTTTGGGAGAATTGAAAACCGTTTTTAGTATCAACCTCACACCTCACCTGGAATAACTTATGCATTATGTCCCCTTATCTTTAATGATTTGAAACATTCGGAAAAGAGCAACGTTGATACACGGCCTGAAAAATTTAGCCCTGCTCAGCTGACCTAGGTTCGCCTGTTACATCCTGTCTAACATGAGGTTTAAGGGGATGTAGCCATAGTGTATCATTCTCCCTATAGTTCTCTTCATGTGAGTAAAACACTGATACGTTATGGTAATAGGTCGCAGAAATGAACACGTCAACGCGTAATGAGCTTGCACGAAAATTCTTATGAACCTTTTCGCTGTTTAGATCGGTACGTTGTGAAGCTATCGAAAGCTATTGTGATAGCACCCTCTAGTATATATCTCAAAAGAAAACTTGATGATCATTATAACTCTGTATGTATTGGGATATTTGGTTTGCCTTTCAGTTTCTAGTAGGAATATAACGAAAATCATACCTCTTTAGTCGGAAACGCTCTCCTACTACCCATCTGCAGATCTCGCGGGACGATTCGCTCGCCAGACTATTCTCAGTCAGTCAGTCAGTAACAACGTAGAACTTCGTACGTACGTACATCAGTTCGAGTTGCCACACCACATTAGCACAGAGATGCAGTGGTCAATATAAATCCCGTAGTGCTAGATGTAGTAAAATTATAAGCTGTAGTCAGAAAAATTAGGGTTTGAAGATGTTATTCAAGGAGTATAATCCAGTGAAATAAATTTGGAAAGAGAAAAAAAAGGGACATGAAGAATTCAGAAGATTAGAATTTGGGAGAACACAAAGAGTGGATACACCTGCGCCATTGCAAACGATTTTGAGCCATGTCATTCAGGGTCTCTAACCATCAGTTGCTATCATCTCGCGGTCCCCAACCGGGTAGTCTACACCTACCAATATGACTCAATCTACTTGTCAGTGACTTCATGAACTTGTGCCATGTTTTGGTCTGGCTGCACCTAGCTTTCTTCCAATCTACTCCTATACCACTGAACATCGCACATCGAGGCACGAACTGCTGCGCAGTAAACACGTCCTTTGGTTGGTAGACGGATATCTCGCCCACGCCATAAATGACGCAAGTTGGTAAAGGCTAGTCGAGCCTTCTGTATCCGTGCTTAGATTTCGTCACACACCAGAACACAAGGGCTGATGAGACTTCCGAGATAAGTGAAGCGGTCGACACACTCCCTATCATTAGTTCGGATATCAATGCAACCCAATCCTGAAGCAACATTTTGCATTTCGAGGGAGAGAATCGCATCCCGGACATGCTTGCGTTGTTGCTTAGAGTGGTCAGAAGACTCTGCATTTTGTCAGCGTCTTCAAATAAAACTATGTCATCGGCATATTCTAAGTCAACAAGTGAACCTCCCGGTAGAAGTTCAACCCCCGGAAATTTAGATGAGGAGAGTGTTATCTCTAAAAGTACGTCGACCACAAAGTTGAACAAGAATGGGGAGAGTGGACAGCCCTGACGAACACCACTTGAGGTAATCAATTCTGATGACAGTTCGCCATAAGCTCTCATTCTACCAGTTGTGTTCGAGTAGAGAGCCTTTATAAGGTTAATGTACTTCTTTGGTACTCCTTTCAGTGACAAACACTTCCATAGAACCTTACGATCAACAGAGTCGAGTGCCGCCTTAAGGTCGAGAAATACTACGATTGTGGGGCGTCTGAATGTGTGTCTGTGTTCTAGAACCTGACGTAGTGTGAATATCTGATCTATACAGCCACATCCAGGTCGAAAACCCGCCTGATTTTCTCTAGTCTGCTCTTCACGAGCTTTAGTTAGGCGTCGAAGTATTATTGAAGCTAATATTTTAGACACTATATTAGTCAAACTGATTCCTCTGTGATTGTCACAAGAGGACTGTTTTCCTTTCTTAAAAACTGGCACAATCAGTGATTGAGACCAATCAGATGGGATTACGTCCAGTTCCCAAATTCTACCTAAGACCTCAGTCAATCTCACTGCTAATACTGAACCACCATCCTTAAAAATCTCAGGAGTAAACATGTCAGGGCCTGCTGCTCTCCCTCTCTTCAGATTTTCTATGGCTTTTTCAACTTCGTAAAGAGACGGAGGACCTACATTAACTTGCCATTCAGGTTGACTGGAGATCGTGGGAAACCGAAGTGTGGCTGAAGGCCAGTTGAACTGATCCCTAAGGTGTTCTGCCCATCGATCCAATCTCCTGGATTGAGGATGTATAATATGCTCATCTTCCTCTGAGAGTGTTTCGCTAACAGTCGGTTTCCTAATGCTGGTTTCCTTAACAAGTCTGAACAATTGTCTGCTATTACCTATTGCCGCTGCCTTTCACATCTCTCTTGCTTTCGCTACCCACCACTGTTCACGATCATTGCGTAGACTTCTTGTCAACTTGCGCTTAAGCTGACTCCGCTCTTCACTATGTTCAGAGCCAGGTGGAATGAGTTTCCGAGCATCTATCTGTGCGGTAGATGCTGCTGAGATCCAGTGTTGCTCCCTAACCTTCTGATTTACCTTACTAGCAGATATCACTGCTGTTTCCACAGCTTTTCGGATATCATTCCATGCTGCCTCGGGGTGGGCATCACATACATGGCTGCCTAACTGTTTTCTTAGTTGTTCCTGAGATATACTCTTAGCTTGACTATCGTTAAGTAGGTCCCTAAGAGGTTTCCTTGCAGCGTCTTTCCTACGTCCAGTAAGACGCAAGCAAATACGCTCTCGTACTAGAGCATGATCTGAATCTAAGCATGTGTTCCAGAATGAGCGAGTCTTCTATCGAGCCCCTCCATCGGTGGCTGATAGCGATGTGATCTATTTGGGTCCAACGTTGGGACGAATTAGGGGGTCACCATGTTAAAAGATGTTTTTCCTTATGCTCAAAGTTAGTATTTGCAAGTAACAGGCGATTATCTGAGCATAGCTGCAGCAGACGGTCGCCATTATCTGTTCTTTGAGCCACAATACTATAAGATCCACCTAGGTGTCTTTCCCTATCGCTTAGTTTACCTACTTGAGCATTAAAGTCACCGGTCATTATTACTACATCCGAACGCATAGCTTTTCGGAGAAGGTCCGAAAGCTTTCTGTAAAACTCATCTTTTACATCATCTGAGCTGCAGTCAGTGGGAGAATAGACAGAGACGACGAAGAGGCAACGACGGGTGTTCCTATCTTTCCGGATTCTTACTGTTCCGTTCAGTCGGACAGCGCACAAACGACTGTCTACTGGGATCCACTCTAAGAGAGCTAGTTCTGCTCTGGGACTCAATGCTATACCTACGCCGGCGAGTCCACGGGAAGCAGAATCAGGGCTTCCAGATACACGAAGTATGAATCGAGTCGGTTCTTTATTTTGACAAGGTGAGGTCAGATGAATGACGCTACTCGGATCCTGTATGCGCGTTTCGGAGACGCAGCACACATCGATGGCGCGGGATTCTAAAGTCCTAGCTAAGGAAGCCTGTTGTCCTATTTGGCACAGTGTTCGTATGTTAAAAGCTTCTACGTGTAGTTTAGAGCGTGGTTTCAGGAGACCAGGAATAGCGTTCCGCGTACTCGAATTGTTTGCCCTATCGGTGCGAGGTGATAAAGAAACGTGAGGAGGGTTAGTCATGGAAATAAGAGAGGTATTAGGAGGTGTAGGAAGGATTCGAATGTGACCAACTTGGTCTCGTGTGCTGTTACGGGTATGAGGGCTGATGTCACTTCCCGGCTGCCCACACCGTGGAAGGGTATTTCTTGAGGAACCTGAAAATGAAATTGGATTAGTGTTGGTCTTAACGACCTGGGAGCGTGACCGCAGATCCCAAGGGATAACTGCTTGAGACCGGTCGCGCACGGCCCTTTTGTGGAATGTTTTTAATGAGTTAGCTCCGTTCTTCAAAGGGCCTTACCGCCGGAGACGGAAATCCGTGAGGTAAGGTGGGGTGTGACATTTTTGGGGTCGACCTTTTCTAACCCCACTCCTCCTTGTGGGAAGGCAGCATCGCTGCAGATGCTGGTTGTCCGAGGGAAACACCTTACTGCTGTCACATCCCTCTACAGTCAGCAGTACGACTTCGCCCTCAGACCTTGAGTTGCTGCCTTTAGTCTTACCGTTCTCCAATCGACCTGCCTGGCATGGTAGAACCTACAGGAACATATGTTCCAGCCAATATAGCTCGCTTGGGTCATCACGATAGGCAAACCCGACCACCGCGTCAAGGTAGCAGCTTCGGTCGGGTCTCCAGACTATTAGGGTTCGGAGTTTAGCAGTTCAATATGTGATGCTGTTTAGATGCATGTGTCTTAAAGCAGTGTTTTGACAAACGATTGGTTGATTTCCATGTGAGCTAGATCATTGTTGTGACAAATAATGCTAAAACAAGAGAAGCAGTAAATAGCATAGTGTTTCAAAAGAGTCGAGAAAATCAAACACTAGAACATAGATAACAATTTTAGGCAAGAGACCTAATGTTAGATTTGATATATGGTTGAATGAATAATGTTTTAGTATTCGTTAGCCTAGGTTACATCATATATATCGTTTATTTTGGTCGAAATCACTAATTGACCCAATACATAAGTAGGGGCCAAAATCATCCTTTGATAGCCATAGAGGGATTAGTTTGACTAATATAGCATCTAAAATACTTACCTCAATAGTTATCGGTCGCTTAACAAAAACTCGTGTACTGCAAATACGAGAAAAACAGGCTGACCTCAGACCTGGTCGTGGCTGCATCGACCACATAATCACTATTCGTCAGGTTCTAGAACACAGACATACTTATCGGCGTCCGACAATGATAGATTTTGTTGACTTAAGAGAAGCATTTGACTCCGTAGACCGCGAGATTCTGTAGCAGTGTCTGTCATTGAAAGGCGTACCTCAGAAGTACATAAACCTTGTGAAGGCTCTTTACTCGAACACTACCAGTCGAGTCAGAGCTTATGGCGAACTGTCCTCTGCTTTTGCAACCTCAAGTGGTGTCCATCAAGGCTGTTCACTTTCTCCATTTTTGTTTAATTTCATCGTAGACCTGCTGCTGAAAATAACGTTCTTGTTGTTTGAATTTTCAGTTATTGATCTCCTTCTATGAGGTTCACTTAGCGACTTAGAATACACAGATATCATAATCCTGTTTCATGAAGACTAATAAAATGCAAGGTCTTTTGTTAGTACTGAGCAACAATGTCAGGATGTTTGAGATTCGTTTCTACCTCTCCAAATGCAAATTGTTGCTTCAGGACTGGCTTGCGTCAACACCTGAACTAAAGATAGGGAGTGACCATTTCACTTATCTTGGAAGTCTGATCAGCCCTAATAGGTTGATGTCTGACGAAATCTCAGCACGGATTCGAATAGCTCGTTTGGCTTTTGCCAACTTACATCACCTATGGCGAAGGCAAGATATCCGTCTATCAATTAAGGCCGAGTATATTGCTCGGTAGTTCGTTCTATCCTACTTTGAGGCTGCGAAACGTGGCTATTAAGTGTAGAGGATACTCGTAAGTTACTAGTATTTGATCACAGATATCTTACAAATATTGCTCGTGTCTACTGGGATCACCAGGTAAGTAATATTGAGGTTAGACGCAGGGTATTTGGGAATGATGGTAAGTCGGTTGATGAGGTTGTGATTGCTCATCGACTGAGATGGTTGGGCTACTTGGTACATATGCCTGAACACCGATTACCACAGCGTGCAATACTGACTAGTGTTGGAGACCGATATATGAGAGTTAGGGGTGACCAAAACAAAACGTGGTATTAGTCCATAAAGTCGTTAACTTCTAGTCTTAGCCGTGTTGGTAGATGCAGACTACTAGGTTGGCGTCCGCGCGACTATCATAACCAGTGGTTGGAAACTCTGGGTGACATGGCTTAGAATCGATCATAATGGCGTCGGTGTACACACTCATTGTCTTTCCTTAAACCGTGAGATTAAAATTACTATACCGTTATTTCTACGAACCAGTTCTTTCTCCCTGTATCATATCCTTATATGAAATGTTTTGTAACTACCATTGAGTTAACTACTTCCATAATTTTGATGTTCATCTTTTTTGTGCTAATGAGGTGTGGCAACTTGGACCGACGCATATATGTGTCGGATTCTACGTTGTAGCTGACTGACAGCACAGTTGGAACATGCTCTCTAGAGATGTTAGGTGACATGGCTCAGATTTACTACTTATGTTACAAACTACGATTTTATCACCCCTTTTCCATCTTTTGTCATTTCTTTTGTCTATTTTCCTTTCTGTGATTTTCTGTGCTGTCTTGATGTATATTTACCTAGAACGTTGCATCTGCCTTTTATCTGGGTTTAGAACCATGGTGCTCATTATAAACTTGTCTACACTGATTCAAGGGGTTCTATGTATATGTATTTCATAAAAGTTCCATTAATACCGTACAAACCAACCAGCACATAAAATTTTTGGTGCATGTTAATGACTAGAATGCATAATTTTTCATCATCTGTCAACAGTAGGGTTGGCAATATCAGGAGACCTAATAACCCATGTTTAGCAACCCTGTTTCTCAAAAACAATTACAAGTATACAGAAAGCTGTTTTAGGCTATCAAACAGGTCTTATTAGTGTAAAAGAACTTCATATAATCCAACACTGTTGATATTATCGCTTTCACTGCAGCGTGAAAACAAGTCAAAGAAAACTGGTCTTCTTTAGTCTGATGATGTCATTCATTCATTCCCTGACAGAGGTTATATATGTGTGGCCATGTGAGAGCATTTCGAGAGGGTGGGCGGGCCCACCTCACTCTCGGCCATACCAGGGCACTTGGGGGCAAAGCCAGAGCGGCTTATGTCAATCTGGGCCATCTTTGGCGCCTTCGTGATATTAGTCTGGTTATAAAAGGTCTGATCTACAACGCGTCGGTGAGAGCAGTTTTGCTCTATGCTTGTGAGACATGGCCTCCGAGTTGAGGTTGTTAGACGACTCTCTGTGTTCGATCATCGCTGTCTCCGGAGGTTTTCTGATATCCAGTGGCAACACCATGTTAGTAATGCAGAGGTTCGGCATCGTGTGTTCGGACACAGAGACCATAATGCAATTGATGTCACCATCTTGAAACACCGACTTCGGTGGTTTGGACATGCTCTACGAATGTCATCCCAGAGAATTCCACGTCGTGCATTATTTGCCGATACTGGGACTGGTTAGAAAAAGCGGAGAGGTGGTCAGTATATGACATGGTGTCGAGGTATGAAAGAAAGCTGCAAAGGACTGGCTCCTGTCGGTCCTTCACGACTCCCTGTTTGGGATCCGAGAGATGATGCTACACAGTGGCTAGAGACGTTATCAGATACGGCTCAGAATAGAAGCCAGTGGCGATCCTGCTGTAACCTTCTTTTACTTTATAAAAAGTGGTTGCTTCTTCCTTAACTGAAAGATTTCTTCTCGTTGTACCTTCCCGTTTCCTCCATTATTACTATTATAATTATTATTACACTACCTTACACTGATCTGGTCGTTATTGTTTTCTTCTTTTACACTCCTTACCTTTTTTTCTTTCTCTTCGAATTCTTATTGTTTTGTGTGGCGCATATATATTTGGTGACCTCTTGTACCAATATTTATGTGTCCAAATAAATAAGTAAAATAAATAACATAATCTCTACATTTCTCGTCTCACAGTGTAATTGGATTTGGGCGATGTCGCAAAATCCTAAGTGACTAGATATTCTACCTCATATACCTACGTGAATTAGATCTCAACCGTGCAATAATGCACTTTATCCACTCCCTGATATAAAAAGGGGTATATCTGATTTGAATTAAATGTGGTGTAATCTGGTCGTGCTTTATATGGACACAGACATTTTATCAGCTCGGTACAGCCTTTAGTCTTAATTATATTTATTCACCTATACTCTTACATCTCACAGCATGGTAATTATTTTTTACCATAGGTTCCTTCCACAAACAACTGTTGAATTGGTCCTTTGTTTCAGTTGGCCTCAAGTGTATAAATAATGGATTATCTTTACCAGTTGCATCGAAAAACTGCTTTTCACCACTTGGGATGTCTCCAACCGTTAATCTAGCTACTTTGGCTCAAATGGCCATTTGTGGTCCATTTCAAAAGAAGCGTCCCCCAAATAAAGCGATGAACGCGAAGCCATTCATAAAAGGGATTGTGCTAAAAACTTTTATACGTAAACCCAAGAAACCAAATAGTGCGAACAGAAAATGTGTACGTGTCCGTTTAACTGATGGTCGTGAAATCACAGCTCATATTCCTGGTGAAGGTCATAATTTACAGGAACATAATATTATTTTAGTTCGTGGTGGTCGCACACAAGACCTTATCGGAGTGAAACATAAAGTTGTACGTGGAGTACATGACTGCGCACCTGTTCGGAAACCAGGTTCAAAATAAAACTTTGTAGTAATTTAATCCATGGAACTTCAACAGTGTTTATTAAGATAATTCGAATTTTATATTTATGTTCTTAATTTCTCACTGTCGCGAGGTGCTTTAGCAAGTCGTTCTGTATTGTAAAATATCATGTTTGGAATCTTCAATTTTTGACCCTGAATATATTTTAAAAAAATTTAAACCTTAGTCTCGCAATGGTGGAAGACTTGTAGCTCAGAGTAAGGGTAACAGCTACTTAGCATTCTTCAAGCCTTGGTATTTGTAGATTAATACCGTCGAAGCTATTTAGCCTGTTGAAAACCTATATTCATAAAGCAAAAGTCGGAAGAATTCAAGAAATCCTCATCATTCTTCGAGACATGTTTATTCTGTTCGGAAGTAGTCATTCAATTTTCATCACTATTTTGCTTGTTTTTTAATTCTACTCAGTACTAAGTGTCGATATCTTATTCTAACAACGCAATGCTATAATTGTTAGACCTTGAGCATTAATCTTTCGTGGTCTGGGGAAAGCGTATTGTATTTAGATAGCATATATGTAACTAACCTTTTTAGTCCGCTGCAATTCACAGTATTCGGTGATCGGTTATCATGGTTCAATATGTGGGCCGGTAGAATACATGCTTCTCAACTTAGTTAAGCTAAAATTCTCAAATCTTCCCAATATTTTTTGGAAAATTTAGAAAGGCTGAACTACTGTTTGACTCTCTAATGGGTTTATTGACTATAACGCAAATAATGATAAGGATGAGTCTTATCGAATGATCTTGTAGTTACTTCATTGCAAAGCTATGTTAAACTGCCTGTTTGTAAAGTGATAATTATACTATGTATTGATGCATATAAGCTTTACTGTATGCACGTGAAATATATGTTGTAATCAGAAAGCAACGTAGTTGTGAATGTTCCAACTCTGACTTTGAAGCACCTTTCAAATGTGGATGTGAAAGTCATTTGATGTTAGACCGGTCGTTGGGGAGTGTTCTAGGTAGAAGTAAACCACTGGAGAACTAACTATTGTGTAGGGCAAGTCAATAGTATTGAAAAATTTAGTAGTCTTACAGTGAAACTTTTGTACTGCTACTGATATTGCTATTTGTTATGACTGAGGAAAAAACTTCCATTTGGTATTCGTTACGTCATAACAGGACGGATATGTTTCAATTAAGGAAGAAAGTAGGACTGTAAATGAAGAATTATTTGTACATCAATTACTGGTTCCACCATTGACTTACAACCGATTTTCATCTGATCAAACTGACATCAGAAGTTAAAAGGAAATTTGTAGCGTTTTTAAGTATGTGATCAATGGGTAAATTTGACCTCATTGAACTGGAAGTGATTGACAAATAACTTAATGCATGTATATGATTTGCCAAATCAATAACTGATTTGACTAAAAAAATGTAACTGAGTTGCATTTTTACTTTCTCCTGCCAGAAATTACCAAATAATAAGATTGGTTTTGAACAATAATCTCTTTATGAGTTATTTTCTTTTATTTATTTATTTGCTTGAACACAAATATTGATGCAAAGGGCTACCAAATACATATACACTACACAAGTCACTTGATTTGTGTGTGGGCTGTGATACTGCCCGGATACCTAAACCGAAGCAGATGATTTCCTTAGGAGGTCACACCCGGAGCCTTCGACTTGAGGGTCTGATCCACAAGGTAGTGGAGCAACGTCAGGAGATGCAGTCCCATGATAGCCAGTGACCAACAATTGGTACATACGCTATTTGTTCCTTCAGTATATTGGAGCCAACGTGGATCATTTTATTTTGGATCAGGGTTTTCCAACTCCCCTAGGTGGACTCATAGTTTCCACCAAGCTGGTTAAAGCGCTGGACATTCGCTTTTCATCCTCTCAATTTTGTAACAACACCGGTGCCGCGAGAAAGCAGTGTGTAGGGCTTCCCTGACAGTGACTGTATACGCGTGGCCATGTGAAAGTATTTCGAGAGGAAGAGCTAACTCGCTCCACCCTCGTCCGTACCATAGCATTTGGTGGCAAGATATTATTAGGAAAATGTCCAAATACTTGTTATTTCGCTTCTAAATTACTTAATTAATTCCTATATATTTATATCGATGGTCAGATTTTGCAGCAACCGGCCTATAAATGGTTCATTGTTGCTTACCGAACATTATTATTTATCAGGCCATTTGTAAACATAGGGATTACTTTTTATACAGGTTGAAAACTAAATAATTGATGAAGAGCAATGCCAACTTGGATTACTATTTCGAGGATTAGATAACTATTAACAACTAAATGCATAAAGATAATATTAATAAAATTTGTTTAGCCTCAGTTATTGTAATCTCAATGACTACTTGACCAAAAGTAAAAGTTGTGATGGGATTTGTTTCGTACACGTCAGTTACTAGTATTTTCTTTATTTAAAAATGGGGTTTATTATGAAAGACATCCATTTTGTCTGAAAATGACCGGTGATATTAGCGGTGTAAGCTTTTATTTGGCTAAACTTAATTACCCATATTTGTTAAAATGACCTGATCAGTATTATGGTCAGTGGTAAAATAGAGAAATAGTGTTAAAAAACTACTAAGTAATTTGCATTCAGTGAAGAATCTTAAGCTATCATGAGCTTTTGGGATAGTTAACAAATTGAGTACACTTTTTAAAAGCGGTGGTTTTAAACATGTTTTTAGTAGAAAACTTTGAACTTACCAACTTGTTTCTTCATCTGAGTGTATTTTCATCCTACTTTATTGTATTTCTTATTATGCTTTCGTCAAGATAAACTTTTGATTGATATCTATTTTGATAAAATCTTTGTAATGAACTTTCTGTAACTTCATCACTTTCCCATACTATTATTTATATATTTTGTTCTGCTTATCTGTACACTCGTTTTCACTGCTTGATTTTTTAATTGTAACTAATTGACAACAATAAATATCTGAAAACAAAACAATTATCTTTTCCCACTTTTTATTTACTGTGCATACTTCATACTGCTATTATTCTATTTTAGAGAGAGAATTCTTCAAATGTCAGATGCTGTTAAGGTGATTCCAGATGACGAGTCTCAGCGAGAAAATTGCACAACGTCATCTGAACCAGTTTCGTTTGTGGAAAAGTCTGAGAGCAGTTGCTCCTCATGTGTTCCACAGCCTGTTCCACCGAAACTTCCTGTTAATAAGTTGTATGGAATTCGAGCTGTAATTGGAATCTGTCTATTGTTGTTTTCTGCGTACATTGGCTCTATCTTCTTTTTGGCTCCATTACTACCGTTGGCTGTTCTGTCGCCTGTTGTATTTCGCTATTTTAGTGATTTTCTCTTAACATCGTGGCTGATGCTTGCTGAAGTAAGTATATATGTAGATATAGTTTGATGACTAAAAGATGAGATAATTGCAGTACAAATTATTGCTCAGATAAAACATTTTATTTTTCAAGTATAATAGCAACAGAATACTTTAGGTTCAAACATGCTAACACAGATGCCATTAGGTGTGAATAAAGCAATTAGGCATCACATCAAAACAGTTAATTTTCCTCCGAACTGGCCGTGAAGCGTAACAAATTAATAGTCATCCTTAGTGTGAAGCGAAGTAATCCTACATTCTACAATTCAAATAACTTTTTGTTAATCCCTAATTCTATACGCTCCATTGTTTTTATTTTCCCAGTAAAAACTAGTTATCAAGAGTAAACAATATTTTTTAACAATTTACTTAAATGAATAATTCTATGAATGTTGTTGAGTCATTCGAATTGTTTCATTTGTAAACTCTTGTCTCTATTGTACTTCATTTCTGATTTCTAATCAACACAAATTCTTGTGAAAAAGCTTATCATGTGTGTATCAGCTGATCTTCCCATGAAAATAATTAGATTGACAAATGCTGTTTGTTTTTTGTCGAAAAAAGCTAGTAGATTTTGTTCAACCACAAACAACTTATAAATAATAAAAATTTATACTCAACAGAAGACAAATAAGGCGAATGTAACTTCAATTTGATTATACAAAAACATTGTTGATTTTTATTGGAATCACGAACCGATCTAAGTTAGAAAACTATTGAGAGTTTGTAAACACTGGACAGCTGTTTCGTCTTAGTACGAGACTCCTGAGTGATGTACATCCACTACCTCTCAACCGAGGATCGAACCCACAGCCTTCGGTCTCGCGCATGAACAGTTGATCTGTAGACCACTGAGCCGGCATCTAGTCGCGTACAAGTCTAACTTTAATCAATCCACTATATTACACAACCATTTTCCTATTGTCTTTGTTAGGTACTTTCCTCATACCTGATATGGTTGAACTCCACTGGTCACGGCTTCTGACTAGAACTCCAGAAATCTCCTCTCATGGATTGATTAAAGTTAGACTTGTACTCGATTAGATGCCGACTCAGTGATCTACAGGTCAACTGTTAGTGCTTGAAACAGAAGGCTGTGGGTTTGATTCCTGGTTTTAGGGTATTGAATACAAACCACTCAGGAGTCCCCTACTAAGATGAAATAGCTGTCCAGTGTTTACAAGCTTTCGATGATTGTCTAATTTATATTGGTTTGTGATTTAAATGAAATTTAGCAATCTCCACAATCCTATACTAGGAATAAAATTGTCGTTGGCGTACTTATATTCATCCATACAAACCATCAGTATTTTTGTTTCCTGAATTCTGATTTATTATCATCCGTCCGTTTATTGATTTTACCGATTGTTTGATTTTGTACATATTCCACATTAACTGTCTTATATTTAACTAAGAAAGAAATCATATATTGTATCACAAACACACTGTAATTCTTCCATTGTAATTGACTGCTTGAATTAAGCGAGCCTAATTTCTTAGAATTCGTCAGTTGAAACCTTGATTCCCTATTGGTATCGTTTATCCGTCTATTTCACTCAGTATAAATGACTTCCGATTTATTGTATAATCATGTATATGGTTTTTGAATTCTAAGTCCGACTCAAACATTATATTCATTGGATTCAATCATGGATTCGCCATTCTTATTGCGCTCCTAAATCTAACTTGTCATGTTAATGTTGACCACAGTCTGTTCTGTAATTGTTTTAGCTCAGTTCTTTTTAAAGCTGAATTGGTTTGCGGATTTCCTACTCATTCTGTGTACATGTTACCCATTGGTGTTTGTACAGTCATTCACTATCATCACCCCCCTCTATTACATATAACTCATATCTCAGTGTGTAAACCTATATGTAGCTGATAGTCATCAAAGAAGATTGTTTGAAATGGTTAGTTGTTAGTATCTCGATATTATTAATCTTTATTTTTACGTCGTTTTCAGGTTGTAAATTAAAAACATGTCTCACTGTTTCATCTAACTGTTTATTCTTAAAATTTGTCGTAAGTAATAGGGAAGCCTTTGATTTGTAATCTGTATATATTGGTCAAATCTCCCGGATGAAGTTTTATGACACTGCAGAAATTTTTATTTTTTCTGCAACTTATTATTTAGCTTATGGAATTCAATGATTACTATACTCATGCACTATAACAGTTCAGAATATGATGTCAAATATAAGCCAAAGTAACTCCAACATCTTCATTGAATGCCATTCAAAGTTTTGTGTATAATCAAACTAATGTATTATTTCGATAATGATATTAGAAGACGAAGATTACCAAATCTATGTGATATATTAGCGCAATACATTTCGAACAATTTGGTCACACATATACTTGTTAAGAGCATATATATATATATATATATATATATATATATATATATATATATATATATATATATATATATAATATATATGCTCTTAACAAGTATATGTGTGACCAAATTGTTCGAAATGTATTGCGCTCATATATCACATAGATCTGATAATCTTCGTCTTCTAATATCACTATCGAAATTTATCAAAGGGACTAATTGTTTTAATGTATTATTGTTTTTAGTTTGTAATACTCAAAATTCTTGGTTGTCGTGTCCGTCATTTTGGTGACCGAGTTATACCATCCACCACTACTGAACCCCATAGCTGTCTCTTTCTGATCAATCACCGGACGCAATTAGATTGGTTCTTCGTGTGGGGCTTAGGCGATCCAATTCAGCGTATGAAAATAATTCTTAAGGATTCTCTTGCGAAAGTTCCAGGTGCTGGTTGGGCGATGCAGTGTGGTAGCTTTATATTCTTACGCCGGCGTATTGCAACAGATCAACAGCGATTACAAAAAATTGTAGAATATTTACTCAAAGTTAAACAGAGTTGTCAAGTACGTAATGTTTATTTTGAATATGTGCTTTATTGTGTCTGCATACTTTTACTGCTATTCCTATAGGTCCTGGAGTTGGAACCTTGTCGGGGTCGTGGATATGAAGTCTTACAATTCCCATACTTCAGTAAAGCAGTGTTTCATGGTTCTTTAGTTTTCATTGGTTGTCTAACTAAGGTTAACTCGTTTATTCACGAGGATTACGAAACAAACCCATTGTCATCATCTTGTCGAATCCACACAATGGGCCAAAGTTGACTGTGAATCGGTTCGTCAGTAATACAACTTATTAACTATTTTCAGTTGACAAAGTTGTAAAACCTAATGAAAACTATTTTGAAGTGTTAAGGTGGATCGTAGAACAAGTGTGATAGAAGAGTAGCAATACGTATTATTTCACACAGTGTCTCATGCAGGCCAAAGTTTCTTGCTCCATGTGTGACTAAAAATGTAGTAGTTTCTACTCACAAATTCGTAAGTAGTATGTAGCGGAGCGTGGCCTAGAAGCTGTCGCAGTCGTCAGCCAGAGAGAAGAGTCTCAGTACATCAAAAGCACGGCGTAGTCAGAACACTTGAAGACTAGATAAGAAGGCAATTCGGATTGCACACAAGATGCTAATGAATGATTGAAGGCTATATGTACGTATTATATAAATACTGTAATTTCTCACAATAAATATCAGTTCATTCCTTCTTCTCACTGTCTTGTTCCACAGAAAAATTATCTGTTTATTTTCCTATGGAATGAATATTTTTACTGTTTCATTAAAAATTGTTAACAGTACACTTCGGAAAAACTCAATTAGTGCATATATGATGGAGAAGATTTGTAGCTCAGATGGATGATTTTGATGGAGTTTTGTCCTATGAACTGGATGGTTTGGTCGTGGAGCTTTCATCGTTCAGAAGAACGAACAAACCATCCAGCTCAGAGAACAAAACTCCAGCATATATGATTTAAATATTACAAAGAAAAATTTGACAAAATTTTACAATAGCTGTCCAAAACTTGACATTAATTAGTGTCACTTACCACTAGTAAGACCACAACCCTATATTTCCTTAAACTCAAAAAAGATAATTTCAGCTGGACTTACACAAATCTTTATCGTATTGCTACAATAGAAAAAATGGGATTATATATGTCTAACTAATACAACACTTTACATATTATATTGCTTGGTTGGTTGCTAGCATCAACTCAACTGATACATATTACTTTACTGATGTGATTTGAAGTATGTATGAATATCATATATTATCTGTAAACGTCGAACATCTCTTTCTTCACGATGAAGTCAACAAATTGTCACATTCCGGTTTTTGTTTAATGGATACTCAATACTGCTTTTTCTTCCATTACGTACTATTACAATACAATGAGTACTAATTATTATTACAACCCAACAACTATTTACAGATTAATTTTTAAGTTGCGAGTTGCATCTTCTCAGCGAAAGCTGTCAAACTGTTGTTATGTTAAAGTCTAATGCGAATTGGTAATGTAGTGATTAAAAGTCGATTGCTTAAACCATGTTACCAAGTTTATGCGCTAAATAGACACATCTTGCGTAATTTATAGATGTTCAGTATGCTGAACTCGATAAATCTAACACAAAGTCAACTACTAAATAAGCATGTGATCAGATAGAAATCATTAAATGGTGTTATAGTTTATCATTTTGCTTACATT